AAAGGCAAGATTAAAACTAAAAAGTTTGTGAGGCCTCCCCTGAGACTTCGCCAAATAAATAAATAAACAAACAAACCAACACATCCCAAACGTTTAGATAAATACTTCAGCGCCTCCGGGGAGGGAAGTTTACCACAGGGACAGGCTCTCAGGGCAATAACATCGGGACTCAAGCTGGAACCCGCGCTAACAGCACAGTACTTAACAAAACGCTCGGGGAGAGGCGCTGAGGCGGCGGCTGAGCCCGCGGCCCCGGACGCACATCTGCGCACCCCGCGGAGGCGGGGAGCGGGCGGGTAGCCGGCGCGGAGAGCGGGCAGCGCTGCCTGCCTAGCCCGGGCTCACCCCCTCTGCGTGTGGGACCCGCGTAACCCCGGCGCCCCTCGGGGCCGCCCCAGGGAGGTCCTGCCCCGGGTTTGGGGGGGGGGGGTTGGGAACTGCGGGGCTGCGCTTACCCTCGCGTGGATTTACCGCCGGCGGCAGGTGGAGCGCGGAGGGAAAAGGGCGCTACTGGCTACTGGGAGAGCGGTCCCGGTCAGGAAGCCGGTGCTCCGGGACAGCCCCCTGAGCGGTGAGCGGGAAGAGCGAGCCTAGTGCCGGGGAGAAGGGAGCCGGGCAGCCCCGGCGCGGGCTCTCGGCGGGGCGGCTGCCCGCGGCCCGGGAGCCATGAGCCCCGCGGCGCGTCTCCGCCCCGGACGCGCTCCGACCCGCTCGCCCCGGCCTTCGAGTTTCGACAAACTTTCGGCACCGGGCTCATACGTGCCCCTGGGCTCCGCCTGCCCACGGCAAGGCGCCACGCACGACACAATCACTCGCGGCCTCGCGCGCAGATGGGCCCCGGGCACACTCGGGCGCCCCAGCCCGTCGCCCTCGGGGCCGCAGCGGCCCCGAGAGGAGCGGGGACGGGCAGTGCCAGGGCTGCCTCCTCCCGCAATCCGAGGAGGCTGAGGGTCCGCCGCCCCTCCGGCCACGAGGAAGGGAGGGTGTCCTGGGACACGGGCACCCACTGCCGGCGGGCTGTTGCTGCTGAGATCCCCGCCGGGGCGGGGGAGGGTGGCACGTACAGGGACCCGGCAGGGAGCAGCGCGAGAGCGACGAGGAACCCACGGGCGGGAAGGGGCGGCGGGCCCCGCGAAGCCCGAGCGGTTCTGCTGCCATCAGGAATCCCAGGTTTGGGGAGCGGTTCTCAGTCCAGCCTTGACAGGCAGGGGGAGTTTGTTCAGTACTCATTGCGAAAGGAACAAAATCCTTTTGAAAGGGCGCTAAGTAGTTTCACGCCAAAGTGGCAGATTTGGTGAAGAATGTGGGGTGGGACAAAGCCCCGCCGTTCCCAGAGCGGTCGGAGCGCTTCGGGAAACCGCACCGGGAATTCAAGCACACAGAAAAGCGGGAGAGCCCCAATGTCTCCGCTTCCTTCTTCCTCCCGGCCCCCGAGAAGCAAAGAGAAGCAGAAACATTACAAAAAAAAAAAAAAAAAAAAAAAAAAAAAAAAAAAAAAAAAAGAAAGAGTGAGGCTTAGCCGAAATGCAGCCACAACCGGCAGCCTGGAGTTGACTTTCCAAAACGGGGGAAGCTTGCTCAGAGCCCGGCATTGTGTTTTGCAGCCTAGGAAACCCTAAGAAGCTGGTACTTCTCCCCTCCCTTCTCTTTTCTCCCAACTGGTTTGTAAATATTAACAAGGTTGTGAGCTATTCTCTCACACAGAGTGGATTTTTTTTTTTTTTTTTTTTTATCCCTGGAAAACTTCTTGGCGTCCTTCCACAGCCCCTCTCCCACTCCTCCCCTCTGCAAAGCTACACACCTGCTTGCAGCCACAAAGATTAAAAATCAATATTGTATTTGTCACTTTTCTGTCCCCTTTTCCTCTCTCAACAGCCCTGCTTGCCACTGAGGCGAATTGTGGATTTATGGAGGAAAATTAGCATAAATTATTACCAAATCTGTAAACGTGTGTGGTCTTGCTTGTGGGAAAGGGGGCTATTGCGAATCTTCCATGCAGAAAGGTGGTCCACGATGGGCTCCATGCAAGGGCTGAATGGCTATTGCACGAAATAGATTTCCATTGGGTTTGCACATTGATATAATTGACTTATGTGTATTTTATACAGTTTTCCCAACACTTCCCCTGAGCTCCTTATTTGAATTAGGGTTCAGAGAAACGTCTATTTGTTTTGGTTTTCTGCACAATGAATTTGGATTCACTTGCCCCCTCCCCTCCTCCCTAACGTTGGCTTTGAAAGTAAAAGGCAAATGCTACAAGTTACATTTAAATCCTATACTGCCCAAGTCTGTCATCTGTTGCGTGTTTAACAGGAGGTGAAACTTTGGGGATCAATTACCGGGAGGGCTTTGCCTGTCCTACCCCTCTGCTCACACATTCCTTTGCATTGGGGAACAAAAAAAAAAAAAAAAAAAAAATCGGGAGCCTCACAGGCATACCTCGTTCGCACTCGGAGTAGCAAATGACAACGGAAGTCGACTTTTCTTTATCTTTACAGCTTGAGGGGTCCCATTTGCGCCAGCGGTTGGGTTTTTTCTTTCTTCGAAAAGGTACCGGCAAAAAGAGGAAGAAAACAATTTGTCACCTTGTGGATTTTATTTACTCCCGTGCTGCTTCTGAGCTCTTTTTTGACAGGCATCCCAGGAGCGAACTTGGGCTGAGAGACGAAACCCGAACTGAGGGGTGTTAGAAGTTCGGGGTGAGGTCGGAGGTGTCTATTAAACCCACATATTGGGGGGCTTTCACTACAAAACCAGAAGCCTTCTGCCCGGCGTCCCAGGGGACGCTGGGAGGAATCTGTCCTCATTTCACAGCATTGTCTTTCCTGCCCTCTAACAAACGTCCGTCTGCTCATCACCCCTTACCCCCTCCAAAAAAGCCCTTCGGAGGTCGCCTCCCTGCCCTGCCCGGCTGGCCCGAAGCATCTCGGAGCCGGTGAACTGAGCAAGGCAGCTCCCGGGCCCCTCTCTGCAAGGGGGGGCGACAGGCGGCAGGTCTCCCCCCGAAAGGGCTCGTTAGCTCGCCAACGCGGGGCCGAGGTCGGCTTCTCGGGTTCCTAGAAACACAATTATTTGCCCATTATTCTCTAAACGACATCCTGCCCCGAGAGAGAGGGATTAGATGGGACCGAGGGCAGCCGGGTTGGAACGAGGGGAACGCAGTTTAACACACACGACGACGGAGCTAAGTCGCGGTGTGAAATGTGTTTCCAAGCTGCTGCCAGGTCTCAGGGAGCCCCGCTTGACGGGGCCCGCCCCCCCCCCCCCCCCCGCAGACCCCGCCACAGCCCGGCTGCAGCCAGCGGCGCGGCGCTCCCTCCCCCACCCCGGCTATTTTTGCTGAATTAAGAAGGTGACATTATTCTTTTCTTCAAGTACTTCTGTTAATATTGAAAAACGTGCGCCTGCATTTCAAGCGAGCGCGCTGAGCCTCAGCATCCATTTCAATATTAATGAAATTGTTTAATCTCCTAAATTCATCGTGTTTAAGTTACGTTTTGGTGAGTTATTGACCAACTCCGAAAATATTGTTAATGGAGTGGATGTGTATTCACCACAAAGGCTCTTCCTCCCAGGGCATGCAGCTCCCGAGACAATCTTTTATTATTCTGGCTCTAGGGTGACAGGATGCACCGCAGCTTCGGGAATACACATCACACAAACTTCCCTCCTATGCCAGGGCAAGCCTGGGACCTCCCGGGCCTGATCCCCTTCCCGCCCCCCCCCCCCCCCCGGACACACGGCCAGCAGTGGGGCTGCTGTTCTAGGATCGGACTTTGCTTCCCGGGGATGAGAGCACCGCAACTCGGGTGATTCACATCCTGCCCGCCCCCACGCATGCCACTGCGCCCCGAGAAGTACGCAGCCACACGAACAGCCTGAGACACACCGCGGAAGTCCCGCGGAAGGCCGCAGGTTGACGGTATTTAGCGCAGTAACCGGTGTCACGGACCGGTTACCCCAGACCGGCTCTGCGGGACTCCCCGCCCCGAGGCCGCTCGGCTGGCGCGCAAAATGCGCCGCGGCGCTGCCCGCCGCGGCCCCGGGAGCAGGCTGGCGGTGTGGAGGGCAGCTCGGCACCGAGCACACCGGGGCTCTGCGCTGCGATGTGGTATTTTAAGGTGACTCCCACGGCTTTGCACCAACAGGTCCGCGGAACTAGAGCAACGGTCCTGCCCAGGCTGGGCGGGGCGGGGGGGGTGGGGGGGGAAGGAAACTTCCCAGGGCGGCTACGGAGGAGCCCCGATCTTTTCTCTCCTCGAAAGACCCTTCGCTCGGGGAGAGCGGATCTGGCAAAGAGAAAGTCTCTCGTTACAGGGAAAAAGGCTCGCCTTAAGTTAGCCAACAATACAAATCAGATAACAATGCAGAACAAACAGAATACCACAGCCAAGCAATTTCCATGTCAAACATCCCACTGCTCAGTACCTCCATTCGTAAGTGTGAATTGCAGACTAAGCTTCCTGCAAAGTCCACAGAGAGGTTAGTGCATACCTTCCCCCCACCCCCAGCCACCGGGTACCATCGCACCGCAATTCCGCTGGCGGAGCCTTTTCACCCCTCGCCTTGTCTTCAAATGGAAATGATTCCCATTGGCCCAAGGTGTCCATGTAAATAGGTGTAAATGAAACCAGATTATGCCTTTCTCTCCAGCCCCCTCCTCCCAGCTCCCCTCCCCCTGCTCCCAAGGCGATTGTCATATGATAGCAAAGAAGTGGCACATTAATGAAGCGCCTCTACAGGGGTCTTTTCTGCTCATGTCACCACATAAAACTATCAGATGGTTAGAGGAAGGACATGGAGGCAACTACTTAGCTCATCGCGGCTGCAGAGAAGCAAAAGAGCCTCTGCTACAGTCCAGCTGCCGGTGGTGTAAAAGAAGCTGATTCAGCCCGCGGAGGAGAAGGGAGGGGTGTACAAGAGGATTCCCCAAACCACGCCGGCTCGCTGCCTCCTCGGGACTAAACCGGAGCAGAGTGGCCGGGAAAGGAGCGGGAGACACGCCGGAGGAGCTGGGTGGGGAAGCGCCCGGACTCCCAGCTGCGTCCCGGATGCGGACTGTCAACTTCCCGCAACTTTAAGGTGGGCATATGCAGGGCTGGCACGGAGTGGGGTGGGAGACGAGGGGAGGGGATGGGGTGGGAGGGGAGGGGGTCCCCTTCTCCTCGCCGAGGCCAGAAGGCAGAGCCACCGCTAGAGTAACTTTACTGGCGCGGGCTGCTGCGGGGAGGCCAGGCTGAGCGAGGCCGGAGCTGGGCGATAGGCACACCGGTTTTCCCCCGCCGGCGGCGCAGAGCCCCGCGTCGGTTTCCCCTGCCCCCCTCCCGCCCCCCGAGGGCTGAGATCCGCCGTGCCCCGGCCCCGTGCCCGGCCCCACACCCACCCGCCGCCCGGGCCGGCTGCGGGCGCAAATACTCTCGGACTCACTCCTCTCCCCCCACCCCCGACCCCCTCCTTGTCGCTGCCCTTCTGCAGATCTCCGCGGGTCCCCTAGCGAAGATGCCTCGCCCGGGCAGAAACACTTACAGTGATCAGAAGCCTCCCTACTCCTACATCTCGCTGACCGCCATGGCGATCCAGAGCTCCCCGGAGAAGATGCTGCCCCTGAGCGAGATCTACAAGTTCATCATGGACCGCTTCCCCTACTACCGGGAGAACACGCAGCGCTGGCAGAACTCCCTCCGCCACAATCTCTCCTTCAACGACTGTTTCATCAAGATCCCGCGCCGCCCCGACCAGCCGGGCAAGGGCAGCTTCTGGGCGCTGCACCCCAGCTGCGGGGACATGTTCGAGAACGGCAGCTTCCTGCGCCGCCGCAAGCGCTTCAAGGTGGTCAAGTCGGACCACCTGGCGCCCAGCAAGCCGGCCGACGCGGCGCAGTACCTGCAGCAGCAGGCGAAGCTGCGGCTCAGCGCCCTGGCAGCCACCGGCACCCACCTGCCCCAGATGTCCACCTACAACCTCGGCGTGTCCCAGCCCTCCAGCTTCAAGCACCCCTTCGCCATCGAGAACATCATCGCCAGAGAGTACAAGATGCCCGGGGGCCTCGCCTTCTCCACGATGCAGCCCATGCCGGCCGCTTACCCCCTCCCCAACCAGTTGACTACGGTGGGCAGCTCTATTGGCACGGGCTGGCCCCACATGTACAGCTCCGGCATGATCGACACCGCCACCCCCATCTCCATGGCCAGCAGCGAGTACGGCGCCTACGGCGTGCCCATCAAGCCGCTCTGCCATGGGGGGCAGACTTTGCCGGCCATCCCCGTCCCCATCAAGCCTACCCCCGCCGCGGTGCCGGCCCTGCCCGCCCTGCCCGCGCCCATCCCCACCATCCTCTCGAACTCGCCGCCCTCCCTCAGCCCCACGTCCTCGCAGACGGCCACCAGCCAAAGCAGCCCGGCCACCCCCAGCGAGACTCTCACCAGCCCGGCGCCCGCCCTGCACTCCGTGGCGGTACACTGACCCGGGCCACCCGCACGGACTCCGCCGACCCCCTGCTCCCAAAGTTTCCTCGGAGCTCTCCGTCCTCCCTCCCCTCCTCTCCCTCCTTCCGCTTCTTTCCTCCCTCCTCTCTTCTCCTTTCCTCGAAAGCAGAGACAACTCCCCGCGGGAAACAGGTTTGCCGTTCGCGTGAGCAGCCTTTCTGCTTCGCCCCTTCAGCCGTGCCCTCCTTCGCTTCTCGGCTCCTTCCCTGGTTCTGAACTTTGTTTTCCGCTCTTCCGAGGCAAAAGGAACCGGCCCGGCCCTCTCCCCGCCCGGTAGGAACTGCCATATGCATCACTAGTTTTCCAAAAGTACTTCAGGCATCTTCGATCTTCCGGGGACCAGGCAAGCCTGGCCCGGCGGTGTCCCTTCCCCCTCCTTTGTCTGGGGAAGAGCAGGGGTTTATATCGGACCGATCTCGAAAACCATAAACGGTGTGAAATGGCCGCAGTCTCGCCGCAGGAGAGCAGCGACGTTTCCAGCCTCCAAGCAGCAAACGCTTGGATCTTGGAAACGGCGGAAAGTGCTCGTGTCCTTTGTGTGGGTGCGTGTGCGTGCCCGCCCGTGCGTGTCTCGCCGCTCCGCGAAGGGCAGGATTTCCGCGGGGCAAGGCTGCGGGGCCGGCGGGCTCAGCCGCCCCGAGGCAGGAGCGGGGCGCTGGCGGCCGGGGCCCGCAGGGGAGGGAGGCGGCGAGCGGGCGAGCGGCGGGCGGCCCTGATGGCCACGGCCGGGGGCGCCGGGCGGTGCGGGGCGAGCGGCGGGAGCAGGGGGCGGGCAGCGGAAAGGCGCCCGCTCACGCACTCCACTACATACCTACATTGTTTACAAAGCGCCTGGTTTAATGTAAATAGTGAACTTGCATCCGTACTGTAAGTCAGGTGAGGTCCCCTCCGCTGTACCTGTTGTAATGTGGATGGTGACTGTAGTTTTCAGGTGGAAGAGAGAGAGAACTTGATTTGCCTGTTAACTTCTGATTAAGCTGAAGGTGTGGGGAGCTGCGGGTTTCTTTGGCTTTTAAATTTTGTAGCTATTTATTTCATAGCTTAAAAACAAACAACAATAATGGTCGTAATAAAAATAAACCTGTTACCAAGCACACAACCCGACACAGCTTAAGAAAAGCTGCTGAAATCACTGGTAAAACAAGGAGAAGTAACACAACAGCAGGTAAAAACTGTGGAGGTCATCCTGATTTCTGCTGGAGCTTTGCAGACAAGAGGGGGCCAGGGAAACTGTAAATGTTTGTGCATAGGAATGATTATAAAATGTGTAAAATGCACTTTTGTTTGATATACTCCTTTCTAGTTTTAGGTAGTTTGCTGGAAACTGAACTGTTGTTCTGTTGTGAACTGCTTAAATTAAGAAAAAAAAAAAAAAGAAAAAAATCCACAAACGGCATTAGCATCTATTGAAACTGTAAAGACATTTCTTTTTAACTTTTTTTTTTTTTTTCTGTACAGAATAAGCATGGCATTTTAAATATTGGTGTTCTTGTTCCCAGCATGTGTGTTTTAAGACAAAGGTTAAAAAAGTGTCTACGTTAAATTATGAACCTAGTCGTCCAAATAATATTTTCTCATTAAAATATGTAAATGCAGATATAGTTTCTTATTTGTCTTTTTAAAGAGTTTACACGAGAAAAGTAAAAGCATTAGATCATGAAAAAGGAATGACGTTATTCCAATATTTAGATAATCTAAACAGCCTGCTCACGGGAGGTTACTATAAATACAGTTATTAACATACCATAACATGTTAGACAAAACTGTCATTGTCATCGGTTTACCGAAGAGATAACATACATAAGCGTGCTCTGTGGTCTTTATATGTATCTAGCTATACACACATGCATACACACAGATGCATTCTTGTCCTATACGCTCATACCGAATATAAACACGTATTACATTTACGCCTGTGTGTATGTATACTTATCACCTACATACTCCCAGTTAAATTTTCTCTAAAAAGTCTAAAAATTAGTGAGCTGCTACAGTACAGAGCAAACATAATTATCTTGAAAGAATTAGTTACTCTTTAAGACTGAGAATACTGAATTTTTGTCAGCTGTGATTTTTCTTGCAAGTGGCATCTCAAAATCTTTTTCGAGTAAAAGTGACCTATTGTAGCCTTTTACCTGTCGTTTAAACCTCCTCAAGCATTGCAGTTACTCCAGCCACTGCTACAATTTCTCCATCTTTATTGATGACACTTTCCAAAACTGGCGGGTTACAAACTCTAACACTTCAAATTGTACCGGTTTTCTGCAAGCCAGTATACAGTCCCTTTTAAAAAGTAAGGGCAAAGTAGTTACAATGAAAACTGGATTCCGGGCACCTTCCAGTAGGGTTCTCCAATCCTTTTAGGGATTTTTACAAGGATTCTACAACTGTTGAAAATGACAGAAACAACCTAGTGAAATTAGTAAATAAGTGTCTCAGAGATGAGGCAGTGTGAGCTAAAAGTGCAGTTACGAGACAACCGCATACTAAAAGGCTTATTAGCAAGCAAACGCCATTGTATTCTAATGAACCGACAGGATTCACTAATTCTAAGGCACTGATGCTACAGAGGTTTTGTCTCTGCCTGATCTCTCTCTGAATTTCTGGACCGTAAACGGCACAAGTGACATCCCCATTTCCTTATTACAAACTGCAAGGTCCTTCCAAAGTTCTAAGATTAATGTAAAGGATAATTAATCCAGTTGCGACCATTTTTTTAAAAGAGAACGGACCCAACACACAGAAAAAAAGGTGGAAAATACATGAATCATTGGGCTGATTAAAATGCATGAAGCTGCTAAAGCTTGTCAGATGGGGGACAACTGAACTCATTCATCAAGTCCAACCCACGATTATATCAACACGATCAGCTAAAGAAAGCATTCAAAACTTATCACCAGATCAATGGACACATAACTCGACAAACTTTTCCTAAACAAGCAATGACCTACATTTTTAGACGACGAAGACTCTTTCTCCTTCTTTTCTTTTTTTTCTTTTAAAACCTAGCAGTGAGAACAAATCCTCAAAGATGAAATCCGAGCTCAGCTAAGAAGATGAAGCTGCACTTTCAGGGTCTTTTTTAAACTATATAGTAATCAGCGGAGATAATGATCTGAAAAGATTATGCCCCAAAGCAAAATATTTTCAAAAGGTGCGATAGTTCCTCCCTACATAATCCGATAGTGAGACTCGCAACCGAACTTTTAAAAGTGCCGTTTTCCTCATTACCTCTGCGATTGCCCGAGACCCCGCTCGCCACCCCCGCCCGGCAGCGCGCAGCCCGCGCCCCTACGCGCACCTCTGCCCGCACCCCGCTCCCGTAAATGTTGCGATGCTTATTTCAAACAAATACGCAGCTCAGCGCGTCGCTAGAATTTACTGCTCTGACTTGTTAAATCTCCCTAATGGCTCAAGTCCAATGTCAATAAACACAGATCTGAAATAGAACGGCAAGAGACAACAGCGCGGAGGGAAGGGGCGAAGGGGGGCGAGTGAATCAGCCACGGCCGAGCTCTCCGGCGTGTTTAGACATTTCGGGGCAGTCGGGAGGGGGGGGATTTCTTTATTTTTTATTTTATTTGCCAGCGAGACATTATAAGCTAGGCGTACTCTATGCAAAGAGACCGTTCATTGCAGGCAAAAGCTCTTTTCTTCCGGAGGATGAGTGTAAGCCCGGCTGTGCAAGGTAAGCCCGCGAACCCAGTCGTGCTTGGCGACTCGGGTTTGTGCTCCATGTGAGTGCACGGTATGTGAATCCTTTCTCGTCGAGATTTTTTTTTTTTTTTTTTTTTTTTGGTTTTCTTTCCCCTCGACGTGTGACAAGACACCACCTCACAAGACTGAATCTTCTATTGAAGAAAGTCAGCTCTTTCTCACTCAGAATATTTATTTTCCCTCGGACCGCGCCTTGCGGGGAAGGGCGGTCTGTGCCAGGTAGGGAGAAAAGAGCTCCCCGGCGACCCCTGCGCGGGAGTTTTATGAGCCAGCCTTTCTTCAGAAGTGGTCCTTGGGAAAGGGAGAAAAAACTTAGCAGCTTCATCAACTTCAGTGCCGAATTATCTAGGAATCTTAATATAAATGTCACTTTGTGGGTTGGTTTTTTTTTGTGTTTTGTTTTGTTTTTAGTAACAAAAAGAAGCCGAGGCTGTGAAGCCTTGGAGGGGCTGTATTTGTTTCTTTTAAACTAACAACAAATTATCTAATTAATATGTTTCAATTACAGCATGAAAAAGAGAGGCTTTGGACCGCCTGCAGTGGGTTTACAATAGCCCCAGAGCCTACTATAAGAATTTACAATAACTTCACATCTGTTTCTTTATTTCCCACTTTTCGAGTCTAAAACTCCTCTCGAAATCACTTCAAACCGTGGCCCAAGTTATGAAATATGGTCTCTCTGCCAGGAAAAAAAAAAAAAAAGGTGGAAAGAAAAAAAGGACAAAACTTTGCAGATCGAGGCTTCATTTGCAAGCTAGAAAGTGAAAGCCCCATTGAAGAGCATTAAACAAATATATTAGAATTCTGTCACTTTATGCAATTGAGTAGATCAAATAAAGGGTCCCAGGCCACTTCATTCACTCTCATTCACTTGAATAGAAAATGCAAAGAATAGCAAACCTAGACTGGGCCACCGATGTAGATTTAGCCCTTTTTTTCTAAGAGACAAAAAGGCTGAATTTTCACAAACACATTGCTGACTCGGGGACTAGGAAACCAGCACTGAAACCCCTTTGGAATTTAAATTCATTTTATCTTCCTCTCTCTTTCTGGGTCCCCTTGCGCTACAGGGCGAGTTGCACTGGCACCCTCGCTTGGAAAAAATACAATACAACGCAACACAACAAAAAAATAAAGGCTCCGGATTTATCAAGCCGAGCCACGGTACAGTTTGGAAGATAACGTTTTTGTTTTCAAAGAGAAAATCAGGAATAATCCGCCCTTTGCCCAAGCTGCCCCGACAATCGCAGCCCCTTCGCGGGACGCCTGGGCAAAGCGCTCCCGCCCGCCTGCCCTCCCTCCGCGGCCGGCCGCCCCGGCGCGCTAAGGGCACTGCGCACATGCGGAGGGCTGCCGTGCTGCGCGGGGCCGGGCCGCGCCCGCGGGCGGTGGCAGAGCGGGGAGACCCCGAGACACCCACCCCCCACCCTCCGCTTCACCCCGCGCCCCTGGGTGCCGGGGCGGCCCCGCGGCGCTGAGCCCCCCCGAGACCCGGAGCCATTCGGCATCTCCTGCCCGGTGCCCGAGTGGGCAGCAGGGAAACGGCTGCTGCCTGCCGAGGAGGCCAGCCCGGGGAGCGCCGGCTGCTGCACCCGGGCCGGGTGACCCTGCCCGTCCTTTGGCAGCATTTTGATGTGCAGGTGCCGTTTCTGCCACCGCCGGGGGCCTCAGCACTGAGGCAACCCGAGCAGGGCAGAGCACCCCTGCACCCAGGGAGAGCCTCGCCTTCTGCTCCCTCACATGTCCCTAACATGGCCACTGCCAGCAAGCACCGAAGTGTTTGAAAGGTTAACTCATACCTCAACTGTGGGCACTACTAAATAAAGGCTCTTAATTTTGTGCCATTTAGAAGGGCCTCGGTATTTATTAAGTAGTAACTAGAGTATTTTGCATTAATTAGAGCAGCTCCTTAGAGAGACATTACAGCCAAGACTAATCTTACACCACAGGAAAATGCTCAGCGTTTCCGCTTCC